AAAAAAAAAAAAAAAAAAAAAAAAAAAAAAAAAAAAAAAAAAAAAACTGTTTACTGCATATAACTATTGGGTAAGGAGGTTCTTTGAAAATTTATTAATATTATATCATACCTATGTTTTATTACTAAAAAAATGTTTTGTTCTTCTTTTGAATAATATTATTATAGAACCATTTTTATATAACACCGTGCCAAATCCAAACTTCTCAATCTCTTGAAAATAACTTAATAAATAGAATTATTATTATTTTTGCTTCTGGTTATCGAGTAGTAAACTTTAGAAGAAGATAACAAAATATGAAAACGACAATAAGATTCACAAGATTACTTCAAAATAATGGAAATTTTCGCTGATTATATTTATTTAATCTCAATACCAAACCAAATCCTTATGAGATTAAAAAAATAGAATAAGATCTTCGCCCAATTTGGCAGACGAGGATCATTTCAATTGTGGTTACTTTTTTAAAGAAGCGTTCATATTAATTTTTTTAATCCCAACTAAATCCATAATTCAAAGTTTTATTATTATTATTTTTATATATTCATAAAAGTCGTTATGCTCTTAAATAAGACAAAGTATATTAAATCGAGAAGGGTCATTATTTAAAAAATAATTATTAAAGAGTGATAAAAATTATAATATATATAGTCGATTATTAAATTTTAAAAACTAAACCGAGCCAAAAAGCAGCAGTAGAAAATATGTATGTGCCAAAATTCCACAAAAATTAAATTTATTCGTTCAAAAATTTTATATCAATAAAATATAATTTACAATAAATCCGGATTACACTAATATAGTATAATTGTGAATATAATTTCAGATAAAAGCCCTAGAACTTGTCGAATAGAAGAAGAAGAAGAAGGGGGAAAATTCAATTGGCCACCATAGAAGACCTAACTCGAGCCGCAGGAATCCGCATGAGCTCACAAGCCGCATCTCCGAGTTCCAGAACGCCGCCTTCGGAGCACCTCGATAGCATCCGATTCGCTTCTTGCTTCGTTACTTTCACCGTTATTCTCACCACTCTCTTCTTCTCTGTTTCCTCCTCTGCACCGATGGCGATTATCACCGGCTCCGTCTCTGCAAATCTCACTCTCTTCTTCACTTTCTTGATTTCCGGTTGCTGCTGCGACGACGGCGACTGCTTCTTCTTGTTCAGATCGTCTCTGTAAACGTACGTCGTCGTCGTCGTCGTCTTCTTCGTTCGTCTGCAGCGATTGCTGATTTCAACCGCCTGCAATTTTTTGTTCAAGCTTGAAATCAAGTTGCTGATCATGATTTTTCAGATGTAATAGAGAGAGAGAGATAGAGAGAGAGAGATGAGGTTATGGAAGGAGTTCGTGAGGAGGAAAGGGAGGGAAAATAAATAGGGGAACAAGATGCTTGAGAATTCAAAGGTTTGTTATTTTGATAATTAAGACTTTTTTCGTTTTTTAATTAAAAAAGCTATTTTTTCCATGAATCTTTTGTTTTTCTTTTTTTCATATTTATATTGTCATTGAATTTCATTTTCAGATTCTTTTTATATACCTTTTCTTCAACATTTCGGCTATCAATAAGTTTTAGTTAGTTACCATTAAAAAATAAAATTATGAAATTTATGTTTTTTATTAAACAAAATTGGATAAATTAAATTTTGGGTATTTTCAAATTTACTTTTAATTTAGTTTCATACTAAGGGTAAATCTCTTTAAAATCATAATTATTATTTTATTTATTAAATTATGCTCGGATTAAATTACAAATTGAATTATATTCTTTATATATATTTTTTAATGAGTACAATAAATGTGACAGATTTGCAAGCAAGTGTGAAACTTAAAAAGATACCAAAAACAAGTTTAAAAACATAAATTAAAATATTGAATTAAATAAAAATTGAAAACAGTCATCAATTTGAAATTGTAGGTTGGAAAATCGAGAAGGTGAAAGGAATAAAGAAAAAGAAAAAAAAGAAAAAAAAAAAAAGAGTATGAATTGGGTCAAGTAATTTGTGTTTATTATTGAAAGTCCAATGGTCTTTACATATGACCCACGACCAAAAGGAAACACTCTAGGTTTTGACTATTGAATTATAGGGGTGAAGTTGGTATTTCACTATTATTTACATGCAATGGGTTTTCCAAATAAATAAATAAACCATAAGGTTTGAATTAAATTCTTGCTTGAAATAAAATTTATAATTTAGTCGTAGTTGAAATTTGAAGGCAAAAAGAAAATGATTGAACCGTACACTACAATTAACTTATCATTTGGGTAAAAAAAAAAAATAGAAATTTGACTGTGTACGGTACGAGTTTGTTGACCAAAATGCATACTCATTGCCAAAGGGAAAAAAAAAAGAGTTTTAATAATATCAAGTTAAAAGACTAAATAGGTAATTTAACATTTTTTTAAAATTTTGTTTTTAAATGGCAATATATATTTTTTTTCCAAGCTACTTATTTTGAAAATTTTCAATTAATCGCTTAAAGTTTATATCTAGATAATCTATTTTTTAAAGCTTTTTTTAGAAATAGTTTTTTAATTAAAAAAATATAAACATTTTGGAATATATAGCTAATTAACAGTAAATCAGTAATAGAGTAGTTGGCTAGAGGGAAGACCTAAGTCTGAGAAATAATAATTATTTTAAAATAATTCCATAATTACACGGCTTTGTTTTGAAAATCAGTTTAAATCAAACCAGTCACCGATTGATCCAGTCAATTTGGAGTATTGGACTGAGTTTTATTTTTAAAAAATAAAGAAAAATTATCGAAAACCGATTGAAACGGTTAAAATTAGTCGATTATTGTTTTTTTATTTTTTATTATTATTTTTATTTGTATGTGTAATAATTAGTTAAAATGAAGATGCTTCATCGATTGGGAATATTCACACATTTATTCCAAGTCGGAATTCCAGGAAAACAAACAGAGAACTAAACAGAAATTCACCGGAGCCCATCGGAATTATTGGGAATCCTTTTGAAGAAGAGGTTCAAGAACAGCCGATCTTGGATTCTTCATCGGAGGTCCTTTTTCCCTTCGTTCAAGCTCCTCCAGCCGAAACGTAATCAATCGATCCCAATTTCCTCCTTCGAAAAGAACTCCTGCCTTTCCGTCTGTGATTCTCTGTACAATTCCGCAGTACATATAATATGGACTGTTCGGATTCTTCACAATCGCGATCATTCCGGGTAGCAACAGCGGCAGATCCGGTGGTTTTGGTTTTTGCGAACTCGGAATCGCACCGATTTCGATGGATTTTGAAGCGGAAGGTTTCGGAGGCGGAGGAGGAGGATTTTCCGATATGAATTTCCGTAGTCCTTTCTCTCCGCCAGGAAATCCGCCGGTTAATCCCATCAATTCCTTGTCGAATCCATCTTCCGGAACCTTATCGACGGCTAATTTCTCGGTTGTTTCCGGAATTTCGGCGCCGATTGTTTCCTCCACCACGTTTCGCTTCAGTTCCTCATTGAGACCTTTCTCGCCATTGCAAAGGCCTCTTCCGCCGAGAAGCTGGGCCAAATCGAAGGCGGCGGAAGGCCGGGAAGTGTGATGGCTCGGTAATGCGCGACGGGGAAGGGGAAATTGGCGGTGGAGATGAAAGCGGCGGGTAGTTCGGCCGAGGAAGGTGGATTTGAGAAGGGGAGATTGGGGAGAAGGGAGGGAGATGGAGGACGCCATCTGCTGATTACAGTGATGAAGGCGGCGAGTCCGTGACTGTCGCCGTAACCACGAGTTGGTTGGTTTCGATTATATTGCGTGGATTTGGTATTCTCTTATTAAATTTTGATTTTGAAGTATATTTTATAAGATGAGATAGATATTATATGGCTTACATTTCATTGGATTGTGATATGAATCCATGATATCCATCCACAAATGAAAGCCAGTGGATGTGTTGGATGTGTTTTGTGGAAAAGGGTGGGTGTGGGGCTACAACACTTGCCTGCCCCCAATTTCTCTTGCCCAAAAAGATGCCCAACTATTTAATTTTAGGAACCAGTTAAGCTCACCTGAGTACAATATGATCCAATAATTCATGTAACACTTGTCGATCTATTAGTGATCCAATAATTCATGTAACACTTGTCCATCTATTAGTGATGTTCAAAATATCGAGGTATTGAGATTAAGATTCATGTAACACTTGTCCATCTATTAGTGATGTTCAAAATATCGGGGTATTGAGATTAAGACAATGCATGTACCTTTGAAGATCAAGAAAAATAAAAGAAAAAAAAATTATCAAATCTAAATATTCATATTATTGGATTTATTTTAATTTTTACATTTTTTTTTTAATATTAACCGTGGGAGAAAAATTTTGTGGCTAATCATCTGAAAAGATTAAACTAAGAGGTAAAAACAAAAACTGAGTCCATCCACAAACATCTCCCTCTCCCTTAAGAGGTTTTTCATCTCCCTCTCCATATTAAACAAATTGATATAAATTAAATAAATTTGGATGTGACACGCAGTTATACTACTTTGACATATGTGGACCTGTCACTTATTTTTGAAAGATTAGAGACTCAAATTAAGAAAATATTAATAATATTAATGAAATATTAAAAATTTTGAACTTATTGTTATTTAAAAAATGGCCCAAAAGGTTACCCATAATAAAATATGGGAGCTAAAAGAAGGAAAAAATAGAAGAATATTAGGGAGAAAGCGAATGGAAGGAAAAGCGATTATTACTTTATCTCTTTAGTTATCGAGCATCCACCTTGAAAATGTTCATATTCTCATTGAATAGAAAGCTCCCTACTTTATGGTACCATTACACCTAGAAAAATAAAACACATTAAAAAAAGAATACCATTCTTTGCGTAAAAATGATGTGATATAGTTCATGTTCTTTCTTGGTTCGGTATCATTTGAGGTGAAGAATTTGCACATTATTCTATGCACCTTTAGCATACCAGTTATCATGCCCATGCTATCCTCTATGGGGATGAAATTAATAATTAAAAAATAAAGTTTTAAAATTCATATTTAAATATTATTTTTTTTAGTTAGATATTTAAAATAATCGGTGTGATTATTAATAAAATAATAAGATTTAATGAAAAAAAAATGGACATTTAAAGAAATGATAAATAGGGATTTAAAGCAAAATTAAAGGGGCGGATTAGCGGGAGTTTATTGTGCGAGTTCTTAAACCAAACGGCAGTTAGAGTCGGAGACGACGGTGACGGAGACGCATCGCATTGGTATTCGCGTCTCTTCTCAACGGCCTTTGCGTACCTTTTAACCTAACCACACAAAACTTCAACAACCAATCTCTCTCTTCCATATAAACCCCTCTTTCTCTCTCCCCTTTCACTTCACACCAACCTCCACTCTCTCCGCTCAAATTTCCCTCTTCACTTCTTCTCTATCAATATGAGTTCCAACATCTGTAGATCTGCTTCTAGAGCCGCCAGGTCCATCCTCGCCGCTTCCCGGACCTCTCGCTCTTATTCCGCTGGTAATATCGTTTGTATTTTGATTCATCTTTGTTTGTTTGGTTTTTTTTATCTTTAAATTATTGTCTTGTTTCTGATCCGGTTTTTATTTGTTCATTTGCAAAATATTCCACCTGAAATGGATGGATCTAAGATTAATACTGTTACATAAAAATATATTTGAGCTAGTTTCTGTTTAAGGAAGTACTATTTGCTTTTGGATTTCACTTTTGGTTTTCTTTTTTGTCTCTAATAAACTTTTAGAAATCAAGGAAAGATGTAAAAAGATTTAGGAATTTCTCATTAACTTGAAAATAGTTTGTATATAAATGGGTGATCTGTTGAGTAAATAATTGCGAAACAGAAATTTAACAAAGTACAACTGAATATTTACGAAAGTAACTGAATTACATATAAAGGTAAGAGCAGCTCAGTGAGATGCATTGACAGTCTCTGTGCTGTATAGACGGTGATTGTGAGCGAGTTACTATGGAGAATTGAAATTGGGAGATTGTAGCTTCGTGTTTCAATGTCGGTTTTGTTTATGTTACAATGTTGGAGATAGTTTGCTCTGACGCGGGATCTATTGGTTCATTTTGTCTCGTATTTTCAACCTGAAATTCCTGAATCTCTGTTTTGTGACTGTTTTATCGGTTTTTCCGAGTCGATTTCGGTTTTTGGGAAGCGCGATTTGCTTTGTATTTCAATGTCGCTTTTTGTTTGATTCTATGCGTATTAGACCGACTAATTGAAATGAGATATTTTAGCTTCGTATTTCGATGTCGATTTTGTTTATGTGCATGCCTTGTGGACTGAATGTGAATTACTCCAATTTATCGAAATGAAAACTAACTGTAGTTTGTGTTGACTCAATGGCAGGTGGAAGAGTCGTAGGTTCCGCTGCTGCAGTGACGCTAAGGGAAAAGTCCTCTTCTCTTGCTTCAATCTATGAAAATGCCGGTTCAGCATACGCATCTAGAGGATGGATTTCAGGATTGCTTGCCCTTCCTGCCGCAGGTTCAGTCGACATAACTCTTATAATATACTTGTCTTGATTCTGTGAAAAATGCTATAAATTTCTTCCATTAGATGGGGTAGAATTAGATTTCTGGATCCGACATACCTATTCAGGACAGAACGATGAAAGGAGGGGCTCCTTCTCTGTAATGAAACTATTATGTTAAACTTTTTGCCATCTACTTATCATATTTAATACGTTGTCTTTTACATCAAAAATTAAATTTTAGAAGAAATAAAATCCGACTTCCTTCAAAGTTCAAAATGGCTAATGTTGGTGCAAGAAATTGTACAACGATGTAAAGATGGGGACGGTGCCAACCCTTTTTCTTTTCCTCCGTCCTAACATATGATTATCTTTTTTCTTTTAATGTAGCTTACATGCTCCAGGAGCAGGAAGCACATGCTGCAGAGGTCATATACTAAACATGATTTCTTTGTTCATGTTTACCTCATCCTTAATGAATAGTTAGTGATCGTTATTACACTACACTTACGAGCTTTCTCATAACTTCTCGCAGTTCGAGCGCACCTTTATAGCCATCAAGCCAGATGGCGTACAGAGAGGGCTGGTAAGACTATACTATCCTTGCGACGTTTTTCTTAATGCCAATTCTGATTTGATATTTGACAGCTCTATTTTATTACACTTACATCTGGTATTGGTATACAAGATTTCTGTTATTCCTCAGTGGTCTATTCCAGTCCTTAAAAGGATAAGCTGAAAAAAAAAAAAAAAAAAAGAAGAAAAAGCTTCTTTTACTCTGTATTGATTTTTACTTTTTGCCTGATTGGGAAGGGTGTTCGTATATTTATCTGATCCAATACTTGTACTATGTAACAGATAGCAGAAATCATATCCCGTTTTGAGAGGAAAGGATTTAAACTTGTAGGCATTAAAGTTATTATTCCTTCAAAGGAATTTGCTCAGAGGCATTATCATGATCTGAAGGAAAGACCCTTCTTTAATGGCCTCTGTGAATTTCTTAGCTCTGGCCCCGTCATCGCAATGGTCAGTAAGAACCGGAAATTTCTGTGTGTGTAACTGCAACTGCTTTTGAGCTTGGATGAACCTTAAGTTTTTTAATTCTACAGGTTTGGGAAGGTGAGGGAGTGATCAGATATGGACGAAAACTTATTGGAGCAACAGATCCACAGAAATCTGAGCCCGGAACCATTAGAGGAGATCTAGCTGTTATTGTTGGCAGGTAATGCCTTGTTACTTACTCCATAGTCATTTGGTGAAGATAGTTAGAACACATATTTAAGGAAATGAAACAGAGCATGAGAATCACTCTCTACACCAACTTCCCCAATTACTTCAGCATAACTCATTTCTCCAATTTGAACATCTCACTCCAAAATCTAAATATTAGAAGACGTCGTGTTGCTTTAAAAATCAAGATTATCATTCGTGCTTTTCATCATTCATGGGGATTCTCATTTCAAACATTGAAATATATCAAAATTTAATCGATTGAAAAACATTTTCAGTTCCCAAACTTCATGGAAAGTAATAATTCAATCTTTAAACTTCAGTTTGTACCACTTCCGTCTATTTTATTCACTTAACGTTAATATATAATAACCATGTTTATTCTTCATATCCTATAAACCAATGAACCAAAGACCATATATGTCATAGAAGACGACTGGCCAATGATTCCTATTGGTCAACCTATATCTTAGTTTACTTGTGAATGAATTTTGAATAATGATAAAACAGGATTTAGAAGTGTTCTTGGCTTCCAAAATCCCTCCTTAAACTGGTTTGATTGTAATATATACAGGAACATCATCCATGGAAGCGATGGACCAGAGACTGCGGTAGATGAGATCAAGTTGTGGTTCAAACCAGAGGAATTGGTTAGCTACACAAGCAACTCAGAGAAATGGGTGTATGGAGACTGATGAGTTTTCCTTTCCCTCTCTTTTTTGTTAAACTTCTTTCTGCTTTAACTGGAGGTAGACAACAGCACCCGTGAAGAGCGGCGGGTATTTTCAGAATTCTGCGAATAAAATATGTCCTGTGCTGAGACGAGGCTATGGGCTCATCCATCCATAGTGCGAAAAACAAACAGTTTTTGAGAGTCTTACTTATGACAAACAGTTGGTTCAACTTCGTTTCTGAGATAATAAGCAGATCTTGATTCCTTCTTTATTACAACTTTCTGTTTCCATTTTCTTTTGTACTCATATTATAGTAGGGGGAGAAGTTCATGAAGACTTCACCATAAATTCTTTTCATGTGCATTTTAGGATAATTATCTGGTTAAGTTGTTAAATTGTAGCAGCAATAAGTGATTAATTATAGGAAATGAGAAGCACTAAATTAAAAGTCAATTAAGTAATATCAATGCGAGAGGATTAGTTTTTTCCTCTCTCTAAGCAGATGCCTAATATACACGAGTGTTTGTGTCAACGTGTTCTGATCAACTATAAGAATTACTTTTTAAATTTATACTTATTTTTAAAATGATTTTAATATCTGAAATTTAACTATCTTTTTTTAAATATCAATATAAAAATATATAAATTTGAACCTAATTTGGTGATAGGTATGTCCCTCCATCATTACCTCCTACTAAATTCCGTAATATTTCTAAAAGTAAATATGATATAATGTTAACATAATTGTCTAAAAAAAATCAAAATTCAATATTAGAGAAAATATGATATAATGTTTTATTTAAGTAATATTGAAATTAAAATTGGAACTTTTAAAAAAAATATTTATTATCAAGTGAGCAAGTGCTGCAATTAGCTCTTCATCAAGCATGAGACCCGTTTTGATTTTATTAAAAAAAAAAAAAAAACTAAATATAAGAGAAAAAGAATAACATTGAATATAAGAGAAAGAAGTTGGGAGTTGTTCCACATTTGGATTTTGACTCTACTAAAAATCCTATTTTTAGAGATTATGTCAGAATTATATATTTGAATATATGGTATATTAAGATATAATATCTTATTCAAATTATATTTAAATGTTATAAAATATATAGATTAGTTTCAAATTTTAAATATATATTGTATATTAATTACTTTAATAGGTAATGTATCTTTAAATATATTTTTATCTTCTTAATATATTTATTAGATACTTGTAACTAAATTTTGCAATTGAACTAAATAATGAATGGATAGGAGTAATTTGTGCAAAATTTTAAAAAATTTAAATCTAATTTAACCAAATCTAATTAAAGTTTTACCACTCAAAAATATTGAATTGGTCGACACACCCAAATCTAATGACGTGTCACAATCTAAGTGGTTGCATTGAAAATGCTGTTATCTTACCCCATTACGCCAAATTCGGGCTGCACGCAAAGATAAGCAATATCTCCGTGTTTCCAGCTATGGCGGACTCCAAATCCCAATCAAACCTCCTTAATATTATTTCACTGAAACGACGTCGCTGCTTTCCCTATATATGCCCCCTCCTTTGCGTTGTTTCCCTTCCAAGTCTCCAATTCCTTCCGCGTTCAGTAATCGACTCTACCGCGAAGCTCAGGGATCTTTCATCTCTTTCGTCGAGGAACTTCGGAAGTTCTCTGCCCTCTGGTGTTTCTACGATCGTTTTCTCGAGCGACGAATTATCTTATCATCAAGAGGTGAGTTCTTTATTATCTGTTTGGTTCTATCGTTACGTCGATGGAAACCCTAGATGCTTGTTTTCGATTTTTTGGTTGTTGGTTGCTGTTCGATGTTTTGGGGGAGACGTAGTGGAGTTGTTATCCTCCTAAGTTGTGTACGAATGTGGTATGAGGAGATTTCTTGGTTTTGTTAATGTTTTATCGTTGAGGATGTGTAGATTACTTGGATTCTTTTTCAGTGGAAACTTAACCAGCGATTATTTTCCTCCATTTGTTTGCTTGTTATGATTTAATTTCTTTTTCTTCGGGGATTCTTCGAGTTTCTTGAGGCCTTGTAAATTTATTGTATTTATTGACAACTTTTAATTCTGAAACTCAGACGGGAACCTGATCGGTTTCTTGAGTTTTCAGAGGTAATTTGTCCAAATTTATTCAGTAGGCATCTATTAATTATTTTTTTAAACCTACCGTTGCGAGGCACACTTGTTTTGTGGACCTTAGACCTATAAGCTATTTGAGCCACCTTGTTATTTAATGTTTTTTCTCTTGAGGATGTGTCCTTATTGATCTAATGGCGAATTTATTCCAATTGTTTCTTTCCTTGGTTCCTCAGTAACCCTCATTTTTTTAATCTTATATTAGATGGCGGCTAAACCACTTACTACTGAAGCAATTGCCATAACTGAGAAGAAGATGGACATGGCTTTAGGTTGGCCTTCAAATTCTTGCATCGGTTTCCCCGTTTGTTTGAAAATTTATTGATTTTTCTTTTTCTACATCTTCTTGTTGAAATAGACGACATTATCAAGATGTCCAAAAATACTGGAAATAAAGGAAGGAAGCAAAGAAGGTTTCCGGTAAGAACCTGTTTTCTTTTGCATGCGTTTAACCCGAGCAATTTATTGTTGAAATTGGAAGTTTCCTTTTTATTATTATCTAATAATGATTCGTCTTTTATATGCAGAACAAAATGCAGAAATTTCCAAATAACGCCACTCAGGATAGACCTAGGAAGTTGCAGCGATTCATGGACGCTAGAACCTCTCTAAGACAGGTTTGTACAGTTTTCAACTTGATTATCGTTTATTTTACTTATTTTGTATGACTGGTCCTGAATTTTCATTTTATTTAGGGGGCTTTGGCCAAAAGGAGGTCAAATTTTCAAGGGAATCAGTTTGCATTGGCAACCGAGGTTGCAAGAACGGCTGCAGTTGCTCCTATTCGGCCTAGAGCCTTTAACCGTAGGGTGCCCAATTGGAAGAAGACAAGGTATTGTCTGTGCTTATTGTTAGTCTACGCAAGCTTCTCATTGTGAATTATGATTATAGTTTTTACTCCAATTCTAATTTAGAAACGAACAGTTGAATTTTGTGGATGGTTGGTGTGATGTGATATTTCATGATATGGCAGGTAAATTGCGTTTATGAAAAATTGGTGACTTCTACAATGTCCATCAAGTTTTACTATATGAAGTTAGCGCAGTAATTTGTTGGTTGGAACAACTGTGTGATAGTTTTGCTTCAACCAGTTAAAATGGAGTTGGGAGTATTTCCACTTATTTCATTTCTTCCATGCTGCCTGGGAATTGATTCTGCTTTATCTTATTAAGTTTGGTTTTGGAATTCATCGAATAGTCTTTTGGTTTTCTGATGAGTAAGTGGTTGATGGGATTCTACAGCAAGTGGGACAAAAGTGGGAAAATTTGAATGAAATTGACTGCTGCACCATCTGGAAAAAAGTCGTAAAAATAGCTTTTGTGTGCATTGGATGAGTGTGTAATGTTTTGAGTTTTTGCTCCTTGTTAAATGTGGTGATTGTCTTGGGTTACTCAATTCTTCATAGACGATGCATAACAGTAGAGGAGCCTCAGCCCGTTACCCTTTGGTTGAGGATGTTGAATCTGCTTTGTAACATGTGATGTTTTAACACACCAGAGCACTCTTCCACAATAGGCTTGTTCACCATGCTCAATGTCTGCTGTGGTCAATTTCCATTCCTGGTGGATGACAATTGCCATATCTCTTTATGCTTTCATAATTGCCTGCACAGAGCCAAGGGGCTGTGGTTATCTTGAATTTGCGCTTCTTTGTAACCATTCTAGTGAACTGTCTACTAGTTTCCTTGATTCCTCATGGGGTTCCCTTTTCATTCACCATCACATCCTGGAAACATTAGCCAGCCCTCAACTACCTTGTTTTGACAAATTTAAGTTCACTTCTTGACCAGCCATAGAACTGCAAATAACTGGAAAATTTTCCACTTCTGAACTAAATGCTTCTATCAACTTCTCTAGTCAGCTTGGACAGGGAAGTTGCTGTTCCATCATCTTTTATTGATCCTTGAGGGTGGAATCGAAATTTTGCTTGCTTCATGTTCGATACTAGTAGTAATTGTGATAAAAAAAAGTGCCGAAGAAATTTGAATGGTTAGTGAAAATATGTCAGTGGCATTTATGGCCTTCTGTGAGGTATTATGTGTAGATTTTGGGGTCTAGTCAGTGGAATACCCTAGTTCTGCAGACGTTGTTCATGCTGCTGATGCTTTTATGTCATATCCCGGTTGAAGCCTCCATTTTCTTGTTCAAGTTCAGATATTCTGTTCATTCGTAATACTATGCAAGCAAAGCATTTGGTGATGGATTTGAGGTTTTGGGTGTGTCTGTTACCGGAAAGTGCTTTTTTGGATCCAATCAAGCGTACTGTGAGCTGATTCACATTTTTTTGATGAGTGCTTCTCCTGATCTGGTTTGTCTTTTATTTCCATTATTGGGTTCGGTTTGAATTTGCTTATGAGGTAAGGATACTCTTATCTATCTGCCATCATACTCACGCGATGACATGTTGAGGATTATTGGTGTTTGTGAAATTCAAATGTGGATGCTACTTGTTTTGACTAGCAGGTCTGTATATAAATGATATTTTTTCTGTTTCTTCATCCATTTGAATAATTCTTTGTCTAGGGTTGAAGCTCCACCTGTTCAGAGAAAGCCATTTAATAATGGAACCTTCATTCCCAAGATAACTGCACCAGTCCAGACGCAAACAAATGCTACACCGAGACAGAGGCCACAAACCCTCGATTCACTGTTTGCCAACATGAAGGAACAGAGATTGAGGGTGTTGTCGCAGCGACAGAATGGCGGTGCGCAACAACGGAATGGTGCTCGCCAGCAAAGACCTCCGTGGGGAAGAGGCCGTATTGGTAACTGAAGAATGAATGAAGACACAGAAATCTCGTACACACGATGGATTTTATTAGGGGGAAATGTAGATGTCCGATAGATATAGGTTGATAGCGGATTCGAAGGATGAATCCAGTTGTTTCTATGTCATTATGTTTAATCCATCCAAACCCGTTTGCTTGTTCTTTTACCATTTTTCTAGCTTCATTATGGACCCAAGACGATATAGATTTGTACCTGCAGTCAGTTCATGTAAATTTTTTTTTTTTTTTTTTTTTTTTCCTTCCCTTTTTTTCTTCTTGCTTTCATGGCCTAATTTCCCAACCTGTTCCGTGTTATATTTCATGGTCTAATGCAGTGTGACGTTACTTAGTTTCATTGTCTTTGTCTGTTATACTTGGTGCTTCATTATGTACCCACTGATACCAAGGGATCTTTTATGGGGTCTGAGAGAGAAGGGAAAGAGAGGAAGATTCATGATTCTGTTAAAAAGAAAGTTACAAGATTCTCACCTTTTTATCACTAAATAGGGAATGGATTATTCTTATTCATCTTGTGAGGATGAAAGGCCAATGGAATTTTGAGATTCAGCTTAGTTTATAGGCTATATAGCATACCGACCAAATCTTCCTTCTTTAGTTTCCTTGAAAAGAAAACGCACAAATTCTGAGCTAGCTTTGATTCATACTGTTTTTTACGCATCAGTTGTTTTATTTTTGCTTGGCTATGGCTCACCAACCAGAGATCATTATGTGCTTTTAAAATTAAACAATCTTTCATTTTCATGTCCTAATGTGGTCCTCGATTATGTCATAAAGCTTAACAATGCCACAAGTTGCTGTTAATTACAGAAAAAAGGAAGGAACCTTGCAAAAGGGTGAGAAAAAGAAAAATAAAAAATAAAAAATAGAAAGAAGAAAAAAACGGAACTTTTTTTCTGATTCTGTCATTCAGTTCAGCTAAACTTGTATAAATCTCTTCTCCATTTCCACCCATCTCAATACTTGTTTTGATTAGCTTTTGTTCTCCAATTTCTCGTATGGTTATGGCGAAATCTATTCTTGTCACTGGTGGCGCTGGCTACATTGGAACCCACACTGTTCTTCAGCTCCTTCTCGGTGGTTACCGCACCGTCATCGTCGATAACTTGGACAACTCCTCTGAAATCGCTGTTCGTCGGGTCAAGGAGCTCGCCGGCGACCTCGGAAAAAACCTTTCCTTTCATAAGGTTGCCATTTCAATTCTCAATTTCTTGTTTTTGTCTTCTATGTTCAACTCCTCAAACGGGTTTTGTTTTATAGCTGGACCTCCGGGACAAACGAGCTCTGGAGAAAGTGTTTGCTTCAACACCGTAAGAAACCATTGCTTCAACCTAATAAGCCTTTGCAATTCTTAACTAATCGATGATCATCGCAGATTTGATGCTGTTATTCACTTTGCTGGATTGAAAGCAGTGGGCGAAAGTGTACAAAAACCATTGCTATACTATGACAACAACTTAGTTGGAACCATAACTTTATTGGAAACCATGGCAGCCTATGGGTGCAAGAAGGTGTTATCCTATTTCTTTTCTCTTTACATTCAAGCTGTTCGTCTCTAAAATTAACATCTTCGACATTTCAGCTGGTCTTCTCATCTTCAGCCACCGTTTATGGTTGGCCAAAGGAGGTACCATGTACAGAGGAATTCCCTCTGTCTGCAGCCAACCCATATGGGCGAACCAAGGTAGGCAACGAACACCCTTGCTCTTAAAACCCAACCCTTGTTGGGATTGATGGTAACATGATTCTGTTTCAGCTGTTCATAGAAGAAATATGTCGTGACATATATGGTTCAGACTCTGAATGGAAAATCATATTGCTGAGATACTTCAACCCAGTGGGAGCACACCCTAGTGGGTTTATTGGTGAGGACCCCCGTGGAATCCCAAACAATCTCATGCCCTTTGTTCAGCAAGTGGCTGTTGGCAGGCGGCCTGCGTTGACAGTGTTTGGAACTGACTATTCAACAAAAGATGGAACTGGAGTGAGTTGCTTTTATGACCACGATGGTTGGCTGCATAGGAAGATGATGATTGAAGAATTTATTTAATGTGGTTTGTTTGCAGGTGCGTGATTACATTCATGTGGTTGATTTGGCTGATGGACATATTGCTGCCGTGCGCAAGCTTGATGCGGCTGGTGTAGGCTGTGAAGTTTACAATTTGGGAACTGGAAAGGGTACTTCGGTTTTGGAGATGGTTGCAGCCTTTGAAAAGGCATCTGGAAAGGTATGTTTTTGCTGTTTCTTTCTTCCTTCCTTCCTTCCTTTTCTTCATGCCTCTAATTCAGTGCTTAATTCCTCTGTTGCAGAAAATTCCTCTTGTCATGGCTGAACGTCGACCTGGTGATGCTGAAGTCGTCTATGCATCAACGCACAAAGCTGAAAAGGAGTTGAACTGGAAGTATGTCTTACTCTTTGTTCTATGAATATAATATTCACTGTCTATTCCACCGCCGCTAGTAGATATTGTCCTTTTTGGACTTTCCCTTCGAGGTTTTTAAAATGCATTTACTAGGGAGAGTTTTCCACGCCCTTAAACGTTTTGTTCTCCTCTCCAACTTATGTGAGATCTTATAATCCACCCCTTTCGGGGCCCAGTGTCTTCGCTGGCACTCATTTCTCTCTTCGATCGATGTGAGATCTCACAATTCACCTCCTTTCGAGGTCTAGTATCCTTCCTGGCCACTGTCCGATGTCTACCCCACTTTGGGGCCAGCGTCCTCGCTGACACTTGTTCCTCTCTCCAATCGATGTGGGATCTCACAATTTACCTCCTTTCGAGACCCAACATCCTTGCTGGCTATCGTCTGGTGTCTACCCCACTTTGGGGATCAACGTCCTTGCTAGCACTTGTTCTTCTCTCCGATCGATGTGAGATCTCACAATTCACCTCCTTTCGAGGCCCAACATCCTTGTGGCCACCATCTGGTGTCTACCCCCTTCGGGGCTCAACGTCCTCGCTGGCACACCTCTTAGTGTCTGGCTCTGATACCATTTGTAACAGCCCAAGACCACCGTTAACAGGTATTGTCCTATTTGGGCTTCCCCGCAAGATTTTTAAAACGCATTTGCTAGGAAAATGTTTCCACACCCGTATAAAGAATGCTTCGTTCCCCTTTCTAACTAACGTGGGATCTCACATGTTTCCTTTACATCATGTCAAGTGGATTTAGCTTGCTTTCACAAAAATAAATTGGTAACTAGTTCATCAAAGACACATAATCTCCTCGTTCGAGCAGACGTATAATTCTGTACCGGACTTACTTTCAAGACATTTCTCATAATCAAAAGTTCTGTGTTGGATATAATGTTAAGATTATGAGTTTTAATGCCTGGTTGTAGTAAAAAAAAAACATCATCTTACAGTTCCATTTGTGAATGCAGAGCTAAATATGGCATCGAGGAGATGTGCAAGGATCAATGGAACTGGGCCAGCAAGAATCCCTACGGCTATCAATCTCCAAACGCCAACTGATGGCTTGCTCTCTAGGGGCCATCGATTAACCTCGAACCCTTTTGCATTACTCTTACTTATCCTCTTAGACGTACGTTCGTGTTACGCACTATAAAACTCTTGGTCAGAGTTGATCATTGCTGAGTTATCGATGTTTTCAAGATTATTTAATAAAAAAGCTCCTACGCTTCTTTTACGGTCTGTTCTAAACTTTGAATCGAAAGTCCCCACTAAAAACGATACTGAGACACGTCGGTTGCATTAAAACATACAAACGGAATTAGTCCATTGCTATGGATGTGCCGTTGAGAGGCGTGGAATGGTTTAAATTTGAATTTGAATGGGTTGTCTTATAAAAAGCCAAACACAAAAAAGGGCTTTAAAGGGAGTGGTGGAGCCCTCCAACGGTTCAAAATATTTGAATCTTCCCACCCTTCTTCAACATCAGTTGACTTTGACTATTTTTAATTATGTCTTTTTATATGTATAAAAAATTAAATGTAAATTAATTAATATTTTGTAAGTTTAATTAATATACAATCAATTTTACTAAACGCTAAAAACAGTTGAAATTGCCTTGTAATCATTTTTTAATTTTGGGGAATATATTGGATTTTAAGTTTTTATTCTTTTTACTCTTTATTTTTTATTTTCCTTTTCTTTTCTAAGAACCAAAATTTTTGGAATTTTTTTAATAATAATTTTAAAATATGTTTTTAAATAGAAATAGTAAAAAAATTTATAGATTTTAGATTAACAAAATTATTACTAAAAAAGAGAAAATAATAATAATTCAAAATCTTAGTTTTTTTTTTTTTTTTTTTTTTGAAATAGTGCGCGTTACAAATTCAAGTATAAATAACGAGGCGTGTGCTTTCCACCGCCACGCCATTTTTTCTCTCTTCATTTCCAATTTTTTCAAACCCGATTCTCTCTGTCTCTGCCGTTGGGCATCTGCCTGAGATCTCGGATTTTGAGTTTCTTTCATACGTCGTCGCTGCCTCTATCAGTCGTCGGATCGAGGCCATCTGATCTGACTTCGTGTTGACGGATTTTTGGATCTTTGATTTCTAAAAATGGAGAATTTGATTTCTCTAGTTAACAAAATTCAGAGGGCCTGTACGGCTCTTGGTGACCATGGCGAAGCTAGCGCATTGCCTACTCTCTGGGACTCCTTGCCGGCTATTGCCGTCGTTGGTGGCCAAGTCTGTTTCCGATCTCTTCTCTCTCGTACTGTTTCATCTATAATTATGCTTGCTCCTGTCTAATTCAATACTACTTTAGCGATCTGAGCTGATGGTGGAGATTTTGGATTGAAATCTTCTTGTTCTTTCTTTATTCCTTCATCTTATTTTATTTATTTATTTATTTTTGTCATGGATGAAGAGTTTTACTGCGTGGATTCTTAATGCGTAGGGTTTTGTTACTTCATCGTTTCGTTTCTGGTTTTACAGTCGTGTTTAATTTGTGGATCCATGTAATTAGTCAAAAGTTCATCTCAAGTATGGATGCGTTCTGTTTGGTAAATTAGTGTTAAATTGTTTCGAAACAAAGCATTTACTTACTCTGTACAAGCGTGGTGTCGACGCGATAATTGGTTATAAGATTTTCTTGATCTTTTTGCTTATCAACTGAACGTCCCATGTGTTGCTATATGCCGATATAACTGGAGGGGGCTATAACTCTTAATCCGTGGTCAAGCAGAAATAACCTTTCTCGTTGTTTCACTCTTACAGAGTTCGGGCAAGTCTTCAGTGTTAGAGAGCATTGTCGGCAAGGATTTCTTACCTCGTGGATCTGGTAATGAATGGAGAACTAAGACTTGTGACTAATAAAATGTGATGCAGCACTTTTTGGCTAATAGACTGATGTGCAAAATGCTTTACAGGTATTGTTACTAGGCGTCCTCTTGTCTTGCAACTTCATAAAATTGACGAAGGAAGCAGAGAGTATGCGGAGTTTCTCCATCTTCCCAGGAAAAGATTTACTGATTTTGGTAAGTTTCATATATTTACCTAATACTTCAATTTTTCTTGTCCTTTTATTTATTTATTTTTATGGTAAGAAACAAAACTTTACTACTGAAAAAAACAGAGATGCAGTGTGAAGACTAGGGATGAGATGCCTCCTTCGGGATAAATACTGAATGATAGGATTCCATTTCATTGTGTATTGGAAGGACTAAGGAGAAGTTCATGTCACAAGTGTTGGTAGAACCTAGTGTCAAAATCCTCAAACTTGTATTTGAAGTTCCCTCTATTGGGTTCCAATCAAATTACTTGCCAAAATTTTGGCTACAAATGAACTTTGCACTTTATCTCAAAAATACCTCTGAACTTTCAAAAGTTTCAATAATACTCATAAAACTTTAAAAAAAGTTGAAAGATATTAGTTTGGATGGAAATAGTTAATATTTTGTTTCATAAATGACCTTAATATTTCAAAAGTGTTTAAAAAATACCCTTGACCTTTTAAAAGCGTTTCAAAAAAACCCTTGAACTTTCAAAAGTTTCATTAATACCCTTAAACTTTTATTAGAACTTACAAATTACCCTCAACTTTTTTTTTTTTTGAATAAGTTCAAAAATATCCTTACCTCATTTTAAAATCACTCATGAACTATTAAAAGTAACATTTATATTTAAACTTTTTTTTTATTATCGTTAGTATGCGTACATAAACCATTTATCTATACTCCATATTTCATTTCCCTCTTAGATTTCCTTTCTCTCATTTACACCTATGACTCAACAATTTCTCATTTTTTATTTTTTTTCTGGCTTTTTTAATACCTTCTTAATTACCTTATTTCACTCCTCAATCTCTAAAACATTCTCAATTTCTTTTTTTTTTTTTTCTCCTCTTAAATATCATAACTTTAAATAAAAAGGAAGAACTCTCTCATTTATGAGCATTTCTAAACACGAGTATAATAAATTTCAACACTCAAATAGACATTTTGTTTATCTAACCTTCATCTTATTGCATGATCAACTATGTTCTTGCAGTTGCTGTTAGGAAGGAGATTCAAGATGAGACAGATCGAGAGACTGGTCGCTCTAAACAAATTTCTAGTGTCCCAATTCATCTCAGTATATATTCTCCCAATGGTAGGACAAGTATTTGATTTTTGTTTTTCTCATACATCCTTTGGAACATCTTGTGTGCTATAGCATGAATTTCTTTTTTCATATCAATGTTTAACTGACTTTCTTTCGTCCAAGGCTTGTCTCAATCTAGCAGGAAAAGCGTTTGCTAATCTTACTTCATGAAGTTCTATTTTTATTTTCGAAATTGGGTTTGACAATGCAACCTGGAAATATTAACAGATTGATTTTGCTATATTTTTTTATTGAAACTCATAAGACACATTTTAGTAATTCATACACCTTCCTTCTATCTCATCATATATTCTCTGTATTTTTCAAATCTTTGCAGTTGTAAACTTGACACTTATTGATCTTCCTGGGCTTACAAAAGTAGCTGTCGGTAAGTCATTTTTGTCTCTACAATCTTTCATGTAAGTTGTACATGAGTAATTTTATCTGATTTGTCCATCCATGGAAATTAATGTCCATTTATTGAACATCTTTGAGAACCTTTCATAGTTAAGTTTTACTTGGAAACTTTAGAACAGCCAAGAAAGATCAACTTATTCGGCTTTATTTTTCTCCTTCTTTTATTATAGTTTAATTTTGTCATCTTAGCAATTTCATGGCTGACAACTTATGTATTTTCTCGTGAAATTCAGAGGGACAGCCAGAAAGTATTGTTCAGGAAATTGAGATGATGGTTCGCTCCTTTATTGAAAAGGTAAGATTCAACAAATAGTGACTTCTGGTTTGGGTTTAATCATCTATTATAATCTGTTTTTATGCACACCAATTTTTATTTCTTGAATTTTTTTTTTTTGGGGGGGGGGGGGTAATTGAGTGAGATTCGGTTATTTTTTGTACAGTCTATTGGATGAGTTGAATACATCTTGATCCCTCCACTTTTGGAGGGGAATTAGTCGCTTAACTTTTGTCTTTTACCTTTTTGGCGGAAGAACATATGTCCTCACCTGTGATGCTGCTACATATGTTTTGTAACTTTGAACTATTTTTGGTTATACTCCATTGTCAGTTGAAGGATGAAAATTCATTCTGCTTATTAATTTGTTTGCTATGCTCTTATGCAGCCTAACTGTATTATACTCGCAATTTCACCTGCCAATCAAGATTTGGCTACATCTGATGCAATTAAAATCTCTCGTGAAGTTGATCCTACTGGTAACTCCAACATTTTCAAGTTGTTTGTTATAAGTCATTGTTTTTTTTTTATCAAAGAAAAATTGTTTTGCATGCTTTATGTTAACCCTTTGCTATATTTCTCTTAGGGGAGAGGACTCTTGGTGTGTTGACAAAGATTGATCTCATGGACAAGGGAACCGATGCTGTTGATGTAAGTTTTTTTAACTCCCTCTTGTTTAAGCATAAATTACTTTAATTATAAAGGCCCCTTTATAAAGACAATAAGTAAAAAAAAAAAAAGTTGTTTTTTTGTGTTGAAATATCATCACTAGCTCAATAGAGTCAAGCCCAATAATTGTACTAGCCCAATAGAGTCAAGCCCAATAATTGTACGAGCCCAGTATATTTATTTTAGTAGAGATTTTAGGAGAAAGAGATGTAGATATTTTAGGAGAAAGATTCAATTTGTTAGGTCTAGATTCAAATCGGTTAGGTCTAGATTTAGATTGGTTAAATATAGATTGTTTACTCTTAGTATAAATACCCCCACCCTACCTAGGTTATTCATCCAAGAAATCTAAAAACAATAAAAAGCAAAAGTATTTTACAGAGTGTCTTGTATTCTCTTCTCGATTGGTCTTAATAAAGAGAGCGAGTGTTTCCCACAGTGAGTTGTGTTCAACATTTGGTATCAGAGCGAGGTTAGTGTAGGTTATCTGATCTCTTGGAATCCTTAGTATGCTCTGTGGTTGCAGCTCTGTCTGATCTTCCACATCAGAAACGATTTCTTGAGTTTAGTGGTGAGTGAGTTTCTTTTGTGTCGTGAGAAGTCTGTGACTCTGCAAGTCTTGTGTCAAAAGAACTTGTTTGGTATTACTGAGGTATGACCAACACGATGGGTGATTTCCAAATCGTTGGAGGAATCAAGAAACTCAACAACAACAACTACAACACGTGGGCAACA